CCAGGCTGGATTCAAACCCACCAGTTCAGGTGTATGTGGCTGGCGCCTTAGCTGCTTGAGCCACAGGTGCTGAGCCTTAAGGTTTTCTTTGCAGTTAAGAACTGGCCAGGGATTGGCCAGGCTCAATCTCTACATCCTTCATAACTAGGTCTCTCCCATTCTCTCAGCTCCAGTCTTTAGGTGTGAAAGGAAGAACAAACACCTTCCATCCCTGGGCCCTGGAGATCCCCAGAGGAAGGGACCTCCCTCCATCCCAGTTCACACCTGCAGCCTCCCTGATGATGATCCTGTTGCAGCTCCAAGCTGGTGGCTTTCCTTCTTTGACTTTAGTTTCCTCCTTTGGGAAGCTGGGGGAGGTGGGAATGAATAACCTTAAAGGCCCGTTGGCAGGAATGTCCTGTAAAGCCTGCCTCCTGGCCTCATGCTCTCAACTCTCCTGAAGCTGCCCATCTCTCCTGTCTGCCCCTCTCCATGTTTGGGCATTCCTGCTGCTGAAGACAGTGGCCTCTGTCACTCCTCCAGGTGTGGGTGGGAAGAAGCCAGCTAGTGCCAAAAGGCTCTGCGGATGCTGAGCTTGACTCCAACCTGAGACAGTGGGTGCTGAGCCAGGTAGAGCTACCCCGTGATGTGACCCCCAAAACTTACATCCCATTGTCTGAGCTCCCCACCCCCACCCAGGTCACAGCAGGACTCTGCTTCAGGGGAAGAGTTTGTTGGAACTGTGAAAAGGGGGCGGGAAGGAGCATCTTGTCCTCAACTCACCCAGGAGGCTACACCTCCTCCCAAGTCCAGGCAGAAGAAGGGATGAGTCTGGGTTTAGTCTGGGATTTAGTCTGGCTAAATCCTCTAGGTTGTCCATCCCTGCGGACCACTCCTCCTCCGTAAAAGTGTGAGGGGGTTCTCTTTCCTCTGTCCCATTATTTCCTATGCTGTTCTCTGTTTAGGAACTTAGCCCCAGAGTGAGAAGCAACCTTAAAAATACCTTCAGTAGCACATACTCCTCCTTGTTCATTTCAGGAAACTCAGGCCTGGACAGAGGAAAGACTTGAAGCCAGGGTCACCAGGCTTTTTCCCATCACTGACCTTTTACCAACACATTCATTGAGCCTCTCCCCTCCACCTTCTTCTCTTCCCCTGCCCATACCCCTTGGTCCCCTCTCCGCTTCTCTAGCAGCTGCCCTCTTGGTAACCGAGAGACACCCCCATCTTGGAGCAGGGGTGAGGAGGAGTGGTTCATAGCAGCTGCTTCTCTGAGGAAGCTGACACCACAGCCAGCCGCTTAGCAACAACTTGTAGCTTTGCACTTAGCTTTGGGGTCCCCACCCACCTGGCTGCTGTTAGCAGCTTACTACTGTCCCTTTTCCCCACTGCTCTTAGACTTCTCTCTGACACTGGTGGCCCTGTCTCTCTGCTCCACTCCCACCCCAGCTCTCTTTTGTCCTCATTTCTCCTAGAAATCTGCCCCTGCTGTTCCTTTAGTCCAGAGCTTCTCCTTTACCCAGCTTCCCTGTGCCCCTTTCCTTAACGCCTGTCAGTGGGGTGTGCCCAGATCCTGAGCACAATCCATAGGCCAGATCCCCATTTCACCTTGCCCTTGCCGACAGATAAAGTGAAGCACAGTGGAGGACCAGGTGCCACCATGTGAACCCCTTGGGTTAAAGAGAATGCAGTGTAGGATGAGGTGACCCTCATTCCATGACTTGGGGTGACCCCTGCCCTCATCCTGAAACATTTATCCTTATCCCTCTGCCATCAGCACATTCTGTAGCCTCTTGGGTTACTCGGCTGCCTCGGTGTCCCATTTTCTTGGGGGGGGGGATACCTTATCAGGGATGGGGCGGCCCAGAGGGCTATGTTCCCAGACGCTGAGTTAGAGAGATTGGGGGGGGCAGTTTAGGGAGAGACAGGCAGTAC